TTTTGGAGGGCTGCGCCGCACTCTGTTGCAGTGCAATACAGAGGCAACACTGGAGGGGTCGAGTAAGCAAGCTTACTCGTACGACCCCTCCGTGGCCCAGAAAAAATAATTTAATATCGTGTGGTCCGATGGACCACGGATCAGATATTAAACTGATCAGAACAGATACACTGTACTTGATCTTAGCCAAAAGGACGAGAAAGGTATGATACGCTCCATTGTCCTTCAGACCAAGGTTCCCTTTTTTCTTTTTTCCTAATTATTTATTTATATTACTTGACCGACGATTCGCCTCCTTCCTCTACTCAAAGTGCGCGCCACTGTCATTCAGTATATTGCCAGGATGGATCAATCGTCTGTAGCCACGTGGAATGGAACCGGTGCCCTTACCACCGGAAAAAAAAAAAAAAAGTTATTATTTTATTTTTCACTTTTTGGGTTGGGTCCCTCACTGATTGGCCAACGAAGGATATGAGAGAAGTTGATATTAGGTCGTTTGACTCTGAATGAAGTGCAGTGAGGATTCTTGTGAGCGTATCTGGTCGGGAAACTGCTTTGGATTCGTTCACGATGCCGATACTTTTTCCCGGGCCAAAAGGACCAGATTCGTTCGCGCGTTCGTCTCCGCCGTTGCCAGGGCTCTCCCTCCCGCCCCTCCCCGGCCCCCCCCGCCCCCCCCGCTTGTTCTTGCGTTAGAAAAAAAGTAGAAAAAAAAGAAACCAAAAATGTTGGTGGTGGATGTCTGAAACGAGAATGAATCTTCCGCTAGAACATGGAAAGTAGATGCACTAAAAAAAAAAAAAAAAAAAAAAAAGATGCACTACCGTAGTTTGTCTTTGGTATATGGTGAGGCTCATGGACTGTTTATCTTTCACTTTTTCGCGGGAAATTGAGATGGCATCATTCGCGCGCTTTTTTTTTCTGTTTGGTTCGTTTATCCATTATCATCTGTTTGATCATATCCATCAATATATCTTTTTATATGTCATCAATATATCTTTTTATATGTCATCCACGTGGCCGGCCTTATACGTAAGAGCTGATGAACAGGCGGAGCCTTCTTTCCTTTTTTCCTTTTTCTGTTTTTTTTTTCTTTTTTTTCGCCTTTGCGCGCCGATACACGCTGTGACTGACGAATTGATTTCTTTTTTTTTCGCATTTGCGCTCTGATAAATTTGTGACGATATATATATCGTGCAAACAGAGCCGCCGCTCAACCTACATCCACGTGGGCGGCCTTGTACGCAAGAGGTTCTGAACAGGGGGAGTTATAAGGAAGAAGATAAAAAACTGAATTCATTTTTTCTTGTTTTTCTTTTTTGCTTTTTGTTCGCATTTGCGGTCTGATACTCTTGTGACAATATATATATATCTATTTCACCGTGTCCGTAATAGTTTTTTTTATCTTTATCTTTATCTCTATGTTTATTTTTATCTGTATCTTTGTCTTATTCCAATTCGAATTTTTATATCTATTTACTATTCCACAGAAAATGTCTTTCTGCCTCGTGTAGTCGTTTGTTCATTCCTGTGTTTAGACCTCTCTCTCTGTCTCTCTTTTCCTCTCTGTATTTGCGCATGCCTGTGCAGCATTCTTATCATCCTCGTTGTCTCTTCACCGTCCGCGTGCTCACGTTCATCCCCCAGTATTACCCCCCCTGGTCTGCCTCAACCCCCCTACCCGTCTCTCATCGTCCCTACTCATCCCTCCTCTTCCTTGCCGTTCCTTCATCTTCTCTCCCAGCTCCTCGTCTACCCTAAATCCCCCCTCCCCCTTCCGACCCCCCCCCTCATATTCCCATCTACCCACCTTCGCTACACCTCATCTTGCCTAACCCACCTCGTGGTTCGTACCCCGCACCCAATCTACCCCACTCCCCGTCCTCGTCTTCCTGACCCCGCAGTCGTTTTCCCCACCCCGTCCTTCTCCTCCCTATATAAGCTATCGCCCCTTATCTTCTTTCTCCCCTCTGATCCTCCCAATCTCTTCGGGGAAGACGGTAGCAGTAGAACCCCGGCGGGTTGCACGACGTGTCACGATGCACGTGTGTGTGTGTGTGTATGTGTGTGTGTGTGTGTGTGTATATGTGTGTGTGTGTGTGTGTGTGTGTGTGTGAGAGAGAGAGAGAGAGAGAGAGAGAGAGAGAGAGAGAGAGAGAGAGAGAGAGAGAGAGGTTACGACGTATGGAGCGCGCGTGATGTGATACTCTTGGATTGTGGGGTGGGAGGATGACGATCAAGATGCCATCATGTGTGTGTGTGTGTGTGTGAGAGAGAGAGAGAGAGAGAGAGAGAGAGAGAGAGAGAGAGAGAGAGAGAGAGAGAGCGCTAGGGTGCTTTGACCTTTTTGCAGCGCGGAGGGAGTACGCGGTGTGGAAGGAAGACGATCAAATGAGGTGGACTGATGATGACGTGGATATAGGTGGATGACGGTGACAAAAATAGCAGGTAGAGCTGGCATATTGATCACGATAATCATTAAGGAATTAGTATGACTTACCACGTGTCACGGTGATACTAACTCGTTTAACACCCATCATGATAATGCGTCAAGTGTTCATGGACAGAACCATCCCTAACCCATTGATTCGCTGGGGATAGTGCTCAATGGATTGCTCATGGCTTAACCCAGTAAGGGGGTAGCGGACGATCGATGGGCTAGGAATGAGCTAACAGACGATCGATCGGTTAGCGCATGGGTTAGGGATAGGTTAGCGATAGGCTAGGGATGGGTTAGCGATGGGTTAGAGATGGTTTAGGGACGGGTTAGCTCACGGTGGGTTAGGGATGGGTTAACACACAATCGATGGGTTAGTGCATGGGTTAGGGATAGGCTAGCGATGGGCTACCGTCTTCACCCGAATAGAACGCCCGGTAATTATGGCCGTATCTGGACTGAAAGGTGCGTCAAATACCGCTACAATGACCGGGCGTTCTATTCGGGTGAAGACAGTAGGGACGGGTTAGCTCGCAGTGGGTTAGGGATGGGCTAGCCCACGTCGATGGTCTGGAGCACGATTGGTTAAGGGTGGGTTAGCTCCTTATGGGCTAGGGACTGGTTGGCCATGGGTAAGGCAGGGGTTACGATCGGTCAGCAAGGGGCTACCGTCTTTACCCGAATAGAACGCCCGATCATTATAGCTGCATTTGGCACGACTTTCAGTCCAGATGCAGCCATAATGACCGGGCGTTCTATTCGGGTGAAGACGGTAGTAGGGATAGGTTAGGGATGGGTTAGTTTGTTTAGGCATGGCGGGTTAGCGATGGGGCTCAATGAAGCATGGTGGTTGATGGCCCGGCACTGTATTCAGACACGCGTTACTTGTGCAAAAACTAGAGGAGAAAAATATCGAATGACCGTCTTCAGCCGAATAGAACGGCCGGTCATTATCGCTGCATTTGGACTGAAAAATGCCTCAAATACAGCTACATTGCCTGAGCGTTATATTCCGGTGAAGACGGTAGTGATAGCTGATCAGACATGAGATATCTGCAAGCTGAGGTTGATTAATTAGTACTAGAATAGATGGATCCCCAGTTCCCCGGAGGCGTATCAGTTGTGCGGCAGTCGTTGATTCGTTGATGCTTAACCGCAACCGGGGTTAAGGTGGATTATCACTTGCAGAATCGCCATTAGGGGACTCTGCAGAGCTGTAGAGGGTTCAGCCTCTTGATGAGTCAATGGAAGTTGGACGAAACAGTGTGTGACAGCCGTCAGTTTCTTGTCCTTGTCTCCCTTTCTACCGACGGTTCACCGGGCAGTTCTTAATAACTGTATGTATATATCATCATATTTATATATGTAAATGTGCATATATGTACATATGCGTCCTTTGTTGGCAGGCGAATACAGTGGACGGAGGTAATCGTTGTAAAAGCTTGGCAACGACTCCGAGGAGAACAATTAAGGCTTATGATGATGATGCAAAGGCGCTGAACAGTGATGGGTGAAGGAATGGATGCGCGCGCGAGAGAGAGAGAGAGACACACACACACACACACACAGAGAGAGAGAGAGAGAGAGAGAGAGAGAGAGAGAGAGAGAGAGAGAGAGAGAGGCGTTGCAGACTGATGGGCCAGGGAAACGAGGTTAAGGGGCACTGTTCCGGGGAGATCTGACGTGCACACGCGCACACACACACACACACACACACACACACAGAGAGAGAGAGAGAGAGAGAGAGAGAGAGAGAGAGAGAGAGAGAGAGAGAGAGAGAG